ATAACGGTAAATTTCAGAAATGCTTGAAACTTCAATAATTCGAAATTTAAGGACGCTAATTTACTCAAAATTGATACACCCCGGCTTACCATCTAGCGGTAGCTTTCGCAAAGGTGAAAAAACATATATTTAATACTTGCGCCGGGTATTTAATGTTCGGCTCCACCCGAACTTAGACTTTCTTACTTGTTTTATTTCATCTCGTGTTTGTCCGCATTTCCCCTTTCCCTTTTTTGGTCCTCTTTCTTTCTTTTTGTCTTCTGAACTCATCTTCAACACATAACGCCTTGTCAAAAATGAAAATCCCATTTGCTCGGCACTAGCGCCGCGTCAGTGTGGAATGCTCATACAAATTGTGTGGGCATGAGGATTTTTGACGCGCAAATTTAGAGACGGCAGTTTGTGAATGATTTTAAATTGTTTTTCACGCCTAAAGCAAATTTCTTCATCCCGAGCTGAAAGAAAATTATTTTAGAATGTCACACACCAGTGAAAATATGTACGCAGTAGGGTTGTGCGATTAACTGATTATTCAAACTTTTAATTAATCATAAAGTAAATTTAAAATTATGATTACTCAAAAGTTCAGTTACCCGAGTAATCAAGATTTTGATTGACCAAAAACTATACCTAATATTTGAGTAATTTGCTTTATGATTATTTAATCATTATTGTGAGTAAAGTGAGTAATCAGATATTCAAATATAAAGAAGTAGAAGTGCACACATTAATAAACACATTGTATAAGACAAGTTAAAAATTTTCCAAAGCAAACTCTTTAAACAAGCAAAATACATTTTTTGAGTAATTTTAAGTAACTCGATAAATCATGGTTTTGAGTAATCAAATTCTCGAGTAATTGAATAACCGAACAACTGTTTAACCAACTTGCTCGAGTAATTGAATAATAGCGCAGCCCGTATAGTATACAGTATATGTATAATATATATATATATGTATATATATACATTGTATATACATTAGACTGCATCACAAAAATTCGGTACTGTGTTTCCATTGGAGTTATTATATTTTGTATTATATTCTAAGACGTCCACCAAAATATTTCGAAAAAATATTAAGATGTACGTGAGCTGGACCGATTCGAAAATACGTCCAAAAATGGAGTTTTTTATGAATAAAAATAGTTTCTTAAAGATTTTTGTTGAAAATATCCCCTCAAATGACAAAACGGTTTAAGCTTAAAAAATGTCCATAAAAATATTTTAAAAGAATTTAAAAAAATTTTGAACGGAATCGTAATAATTTAATTTTTATGCTGTTTTTTACCTTTTTTCAAATTTTGGTAAAAGAAAAACTTGAGTAACTGAACATATACTCTTCCAATTTAGACTTGTGAGATATCATTTTAAATGAATTTTCTCACCCTTTTTATTTATTTGCTAATAAACTCATTCAAATAATGAAAGAGGAAGGTAAGATGGGACACGAATGACTTTTTTTTGGACGGGGTAAGGTTTTATGAGAAATAAAAAGAGTGGGAAAATACCCATCTACTGAGATCCCATAAGTCTAAATCAGAATAGTTTTGGCCCAGTTATTCAAGTTTTTCTTAAATCAATTTTTGAAAAAAACAGTATCGAAAATCTCATTATTACGATTCCGTTGAAAAGATTTTTGAATATTTTTATGCAGATTTTTGAAGCTTAATCTGTTTTGTCATCAGTGGGGACTTTTTTCAACAAGTTCTTTAACAAACTATTTTTATTCATAAAAAACTCCATTTTTTATTTTCAAATCGGTGTAGCTCATGTAAATCGTAATATTTTGTCGAAATATTTTGGTGGACGTCTTAAAATATAATAAATTTTGTAATCCCGGCGGATGCAGTCTAATGCTCATACATATGTATATCGATGGCTGAGTGGAAGATCGACCTATCTCGCCAGTCAGTACGAAAGCGTCCTATCTCAGAAAATGTTTTAATAATGCTATAGTTAGGTAGGTAGGTAGAGGTGTCTGCCGCCTTAGCGGCCATAGATAGGAGGCCACAGTTGACACCATTCAATTATCCTCCCTATTGAACCACTTCATGTCGCTGATGAATCTCATCTGGCACCTCGTATCGGTATTTGAAACCCCCCTAAGGTCGACCAAGAACGGTGAACCCAGATGACGCAGCCTGCTTCTGCACATTGCAGGGCATTTACACAAGAGATGCAAGACTGTTTCCTCCTCTTCGTCGTCTTTACAGCTTCTGCAACATCTAAGAAAATGCACCCCGAGCATTTCTGCATGTTTACCTATTAAGCAGTGCCCGGTTAGGACCCCCACGACGTTAGATATATCCTGTTTTCTAAGAAAGTATACCCTGCGTGACCGCTTCCGCTTATCCGCAACGCTTTATCTCAGAAAACTTTCCAAGAACGCCTGACTTCAGAATTTTTTTTGTTTCAGAATATAATTGAAAAACACCCTATTTCAGAATTTGGTTGAAGAACGCTCTATCTTAGATTCCGATTCAAAAACGCCCTATCTCAGCTTATTTTCAATGAGATAGGGCGTTTTTGAACCGGATTCTGAGATAGGGCGTTATTCAACCAAATTCTGAGATAGTGTTTTTCAATTATATCCTGAAATAGGGTGTTTTTCAATCAAACTTTGAAGTAGGGCATTATTGGAAAGTCTTCTGAGATAGGGCGTTTTCGAACTGGCTGCTGAGATAGGTTGATCTTCCACTCAGCCATCGATTTATGGCAAATTCTCACAAACTTCTGAAAAATGTATTATTTTTTAATTCGTGAGCAAATGTCTAAAATTTTTGGTATACGTTCCTTCAGCTGTTGGAACCAGTGTGACCACTTTGTGATTAATTCCTCACCGTGAGGAATTTCGGGTGCGCCTGAGTATTTTTTGAGGATTTTTATTTTGAGGAATTTTCGAGGAATCATCTCTCGATATATTTGCAGATAACAAATGCAATTATGTTTTACACAACAGAGCTGTTAACTCGCTCTGCAAATTTTTGAACAGAAAGCTTTTCGACGTTTTATAAAGAGCGAAATACACCACACAAGCGTAAACAAACAGCGTGTCAAACATCCTTCAAACCTTCTTTTCCTAATTTGTTTCATTCCATGGTTATATAATATCTGTAATATTGAGTACTTTGTTCGGATTTTGAGGATTTTTCATTATATTTTGAGGAATTTGGTATTTTTTTTGTCGCAACACTGGCTGGAGTACATAATCCAACATGGTGCAATGTTTTAAAACAACGTAGCACCATACGATTTTTTCCTGGAAGTGGAATGTGGACGTAATTTTAGTCTGATTTCGAAAATATATATAGAGTTTTTTTAAGCCAAGGTCAATAATCGTACTGAGTTTGGTACAAATTGATAAATCAATTACCAATATACACTTACAGGGAACCAAATAAA